AGGCACAGATCACACACTTTCACGTGTCCTTTCTTGGGTTTTATCTGGATGGCCAGAGAGCTGTCCAGGTGCTGAGTTTCAGAGTTTCTGGCTTAAAAGGAATGAGTTGTCCACCTTCCAGGGTTGTCTGCTTTGGGGAAGCAGAGTTGTCATTCCTACCTCAATGAGGACTAGGGTCTTAGGTTCCCTCCACAAGGGTCATCCTGCCATTGTACACATGAAGGCGCTCGTGCGCAGCCATTTGTGGTGGCCTGGGTTAGATAGTGACATTGAAGCTAAGGTGCACGCATGCCACCTTTGCCAATGCTCGCACCCCGAAATGCCCCAAGCTCCTGTACATAGATGGGAGGAAACACAGTCTCCATGGTCTAGGGTGCACATTGACTACGCTGGGCCCTTTCAGGGTCAATTCTTCTTGGTCCTAGTTGACAGCCATTCAAAATGGCTTGAGGTTGTACCTGTCTCTTCCACCACCGCTGCAAAGACTATTCAAGTACTGAGGGGGATTTTTGCTGCACATGGGCTTCCAGACGTCCTCATGTCTGACAACGGCCCTCAATTCACTTCTTCCGAATTCCAAGCTTTATTACAGGCTAACATGATCCGTCATGCCACCTCTGCACCTTTCCACCCGTCCACCAACGGTATAACTGAACGCATGGTTCGCATCACCAAGGACGCCTTGAAGAAACTTACCTACGGAGACTGGCATCACAGGTTGGCTGACTTCCTCCTTTCTTATTGCACTACACCGTCCACTTCTACAGGGAGGAGCCCAGCTGAACTTCGTTGGGGGCGCAAACTGACTACCAAGCTTGACCGGTTGCATCCGGATAGACTGTCTTCTTCTTGCACACACCCCAGGGCACCTAGGCAACTCCTTGTGGGTGCCCCGGTTTGGACTCGTAATTACGGGCCTGGTCATTCATGGGTCCCCGCTGCTATATCCAGGGTCACAGGTCCTCTGTCTTACGAGGTGTCCCTGGACAACGGTCATGTCCTGCGTCGACACATCGACCAGCTTCGCCCTAGACGGGACCTTCCCGCTGAGACTCCTGGGTCTTCTCCAGGGGGGGGAGGGGGACCCCTTTGGGCAAAGGGAAGGGTATGGTCTGCTGCCCATTATTAATGAGGAAGCTACAGACAGCTTATCCCAAGATTCCGCGAGTACTCCAAACAGGAATTCAAGGAGCCCAACTAGACATCAGGCATCCACGCCTACTCCAGCCAGGGAGTCACCCCGGGGGCATAATCACTACTCACCCGCATCACTCAGTACTCCAGTCAGGGAGGATACCTGGGAGCATCCCAACAAATCATACCCCGCAAGAGAGCTGGCACACACTCCTTCTAGTTGGCCCGACACTACCCCTGTCCCTAGAAGGGGGCAAACGTACAGGGAGGTGGTCGAGGAACCAAATCCCGACTACAACACCTCTGACTTCACTCAGGGGACAACTGAGTTTTGGGACAGCACTGAAAACCCCACAAGCCCGGGGACAGAACAGGAACCAGGGGACAGACAACCCCCTGACAGGTCTTGGACGGACCTTGGAGGTTCTACAGAATCGCCCAACAGTGACAGTCACTTAGAGGGGCCAGAGAGCCTGCATCTAGGCAGGACAACCAGGTCAAACAAAGAAAGAAGCCCTGGCCTGACGAGCCCGGTGGGCAAGCAAGGAGGCCAGGCATTGGAGCACAGTCCTTGGGAACCACCAGGGTGTAATAGGGGGGACAGATACGCATCACCCCTCAGTCAAGGGGTACTTGGCAGGTACCCAGAGGTTAGGAGGTCACAGAGAGCCAGAAGATCCCCTAAGTATTTAGAGGATTTTGTAACTCTATTGGCAAAACAGAGTTAACAGAGAACATTCCTGTATACAGAGGAAATAGAACACTGAGATTGAAGGAAGCAAAAGAAATGTATGGCTTAAGGTAGTATGGCACTACACTCGCAATGGGTTCTGTGTTATTATGACATGATTAATAGTCTTAACCCGGGGGGAAGGGGTGTTATGTCCTGAGCCTGTGCAAGCAGGCTTGGGGCATTGCAAGTGGTCCCGGGCAGGTGCAAGCTGCCCGGGACCAGACAGGCTGTCGCCAGTACTTGTGCGCATGCGCAAGTGCTGGCGCGCCAAAAGTTGCAGATTGACCCGGGAATGGCCTATAAAAGAGGCCGGGAGTTTTGGGCGTCGTCGGCATCTTGTACCTTGTATGCTGAACTGAATAAAGAAGTTTCCTGAGAACTACAACTGCTTCTCGTGTCTTGCCATTTCGCGAAGGACGCAAAACATACAAAACTAAATTGACTGATGCAGAGTGCCATTATTGAGTGGATGCAGTGTTTTATTTCTTCTAATGCCCATCCTTTTGAACCTGGTATTAAAAAAGGAATGAAAATTATTCATTTCCTCTCAAGCTTACCACACTATCGGTCAAAAACACTATCATCTCAAAAATGAGATAAGACATTTACTAAATTGATCCATAGACTAAAATTACTCCCAGGATTCCAATGGCTGAATATTCTTATCACCTCAAACTCTACAGCCACAGAACAACTCATCCGGGAGCTAGGCCATTCCCAACAGACAGAGAAATTGCCTCTAAACCAAACAATAAACAGCAGCAAAATCACTTCTAAATTGTTGCCAAGCAAACAGTATCATTGCATCCATGAAGAGCACATAGGAGGACACTTCATTTTTGGAAGTTTTGAAACTTCATGTTTTATTCACAAAGAAATTTTGAAAATACTCTCTGGGTGTGATCCAGAAGATAGGAGTGAGGTGCTTGCAAAGAGGTGGAAGCTGGCTGGAAGCAAGCAAATGGAAAGAGCAACTCACAAGCAGATTCATTTGCTTTCTTCTGCTAGATAGAGGGGCAATTTTTAAAAAATAGTACTTTGGGGAAACAGTTTGCGATGCTACATTAAGCACTATAACTGCTTTGCAGCAGGTCCTGTGAGAAGGTAGGGAGGTGCACAGATGTTAAATGAGTTCTTTTCATCATGTGTGAAAACCATTCATAAGAGGTTTATTTGGTTTGGGCTTAATGTGCTATGTGAATCCTGCTACTGTGGTTTGTCAATCAATCAGATTGCTTAGTGAGGTCATCTGCTCAACTCCAGATTTCAACTGAAAACATTTGTAAATGAAGGGGTAAAAAGTAAATAAATCAAGTAACAATAGAACGAAATAAAGAGTATAGATCTCAGCTATTACACATTAGCTATTCTGGATCATTAGCAAAATAGAATAATCCTGGAAATTGCCAAGGAAAGCATGTATGTCTGAGAAATACAAGTGCAAATTGCCTAGCAGTGGGAGGGGAATTAAAATGGCAAGAAAGAAGACAGGAGAATATATTGTTATAATTTGCATTGAAGAGAGAAATTCTATTATTGCAGTTTGCTTTAGTGGCATATTCATCATCTTGATATTTCTGCTCTTTTATACAGAACTTAAAATGAAAGCATGTAGTAAAAACTAGAATCTCTCCACCATGCTAACCTTATGACTTATCCCCAGTTATTTTATCATCCTAAGAAACGGTTAATACAAACATTGCTGATTTAGATGGCTCATTCCACTGTTCAATATTCCATATTTTATTCAGCAGCTTAATTATGTTACTCTAATAAATATGACTGGCAGGGCAATTCTATCTCTAAACAAAGAATTGCAGCCTTAGTCTGGGCCAAAGCATATGTGCTTCTTTAAAAAAAAAAGAGCTATGAAAGGATGAAACTATGCACACATACTGTGTTGAAGACAAGGGGTTTGTCACTTTTATCACAAGCGGGCTGCATTGATGAATAGTAAGTCAAACATATGAAAAAAAATTATAAATGTAGCACAGCACACACTCTTCTGTTTCACCATACCCTGTGAATGGTTTACCAGGTTTAAGCCAGAGTTTATTATTAGCCTGATGATATAATGAGCACCTCGTTCACTTTATCAGAGAGCTTTGTAGCTTCATATAGTCTTCCACACGCTAATATTTTATGCTCCCCAATACACATCTAAAGCACTTACTTCTTTTAGAGTCATTTAGGTTTGTTTATATATATATATATATATATATATATATATATATATATATATATATATATATATATATATAGTTGTTGTTAATTGCGAAGTCATGTCCGACCCATCGTGACCCCATGGACAACGTTCCCCCAGGTCTTCCTGTCCTCTACCATCTTCTGGAGTCCATTTAAATTCACACTACTGCTTCAGTGACTCCATCCAGCCATCTCATTCTCTGTCGTCCCCTTCTTCTATTGCCCTCAATCTTTCCCAGCATTAGGCCCTTCTCCAGTGAGTCCTTCCTTCTCATTAGGTGGCCAAAGTATTTGAGTTTCAACTTCAGGATCTGGCCTTCTAAAGAGCAGTCGGGGTTGATCTCTTCTAGGACTGACCGGTTTGATCGCCTTGCAGTCCAGGGAACTTGCAGGAGTCTTCTCTAGCACCATAGTTCAAAGGCCTCAATTCTTTGTCGCTCAGCCTTTCTTATGATCCAACTTTCACATCCATTTTATATATATATATATATATATATATATATATATATATATATATATATATATATAATGGTTATAAAAATACGAATCCCGGGCATATTTGTTCAATGATGCAATCTTTGATCTCTGGGAAGAGTATACTCCAGTATTTATTGTTAAAACAACATTTAAAACAATAAAAACAGTTATATACAAGATTAAAACAACTTAGCTTTCGCTGGTCCTCTGCCAGCATCCTCAGAGTGGGGCTTAGGGGGTGGGAAGTTCTTTTTATCCCCTTGCTGATCCAATTGCCTACTCATTGCCCTCATGACAGGGCCACTCTTCCTGATTGCCTGTGACTGCCTTGACTGTTCCGCCCTCTCTTTTTTGCACCCTAACATTGTATTTTTCTGCTTTGTCATCCTTGTGCTGTCTCCCCCTCCCTGCGCTGTTATCATTAACACACTCCCCAATCCCTCCTCCTTACCCAATGCAAGGTGCCTCCTCCAATTCGGCACTACACGAATCCTGTTGGGCTGCTGATCTGCCTGCCGTTTTTGCATACCATTGCCAGTTCCTATTTCAACTCCCTCCTCCAACCCCCCTCCTCTCCCAGCCTGCCGATTCATACACCCTTTGTTATCCATTCCTGTCATCTTTCCCCCCCCCTTCCTTCAACCCTCCCACCTGTTGATTAACATATTGCTCCTGCCTATATATATATATATATATATATATATATATATATATATATGATTTTAATTCACATTATATCTAGTTTTCAATAACTTTTTTTTAGATTTTTATTTTTACTCTGATGTATCTTCTATGCTTTTTAATGGCTGCCCTCCTTATACTGGTCTATGACTGTAATAAAGATTTGGTTTATTAGCTTGAGATTCCTGCCCTGCTTGGTTTTTTTAAGCATTTGTAAACTGGGAGGAATGAAACAGCTGTGAAAGAGAAAGTTTTTTCAGTCTGTACACATGCAGTTTTAAAAGATTGTGAAGGGACAAGTAAGCTCCTAAATCACACTCTTGTATGATCCTGATTTACAACATTTTTGCTAAGAACTGGCACTTACTACTGGTTTTCTGCAAAAACACCTCAGAGTGAACAATGGGCTCACTTAACGACCATGGATTAATTTAACCATGGTGATTTGCTTAACAACCACTGCTAAAAGGCATAAAATCAGGTTGGTATATACATGCACATAATAATCCACTTTACGACTGTCATGACATACAATTATAATGAACAGGTTCCATTATAGTCATAAATTGAGAACTACTATATATAAATATTTGGGCACCCCAATATTGCACCTTGCTTTATTCCTGCAGCACGTGAAAGTGCATATTAATAAAATGAAACTGTGTATTACTTAGATTCATAAATCTTGTCATATAAATTTCAGGCCAGGTTCAAATTACACTTGCCAGTACCTTACTACTGGTAATTAAAACATGAGCATACAGTGATTTAGCACCATTTGAAGAAGGAGCCCTTCCAGGAGAATGGAATTTGGGGGTGGGATTTTCAAAGCAGTGTGGAAGAAATGGCTGCTGTACTTATTTGAACGTTTGATCAATACATTAGTAGAGCGTTCTGTTTCTTCCCTATGAATTGCCCTCATGCAGCAGTCTGTTTTACTTTGACTAATGGAAACATACTGAGGCAATCCAAAAAAACCAAGTCTTTTGACCTTGAAATTCAAATAGCCGCTAGTATGACTTGTTTAGCAGCTTATCATTTCCAAGAGATAATAATGGGAAAATAGGCATGTTTTTGCTAGACACTTCTGTCAAAGGTGAAAATTAAAATAGTAGTGTTCTTGGACTTAAAAACATATACCAAAAAATAACATTAGTGGAACAAGAAAAGAAAGAGAAAATAATTACAAGTAATCCAAGTAACCATCTGTTTAGTGACCGAAGTTACAACTGCATTGTGTTAGGATCTGTGGTAAGTCATTTTTTTTTCCAGTACTGTTGAAATGTTGAAAAGTCTCTAAATGAATGGTTATAAGTTGAAGACTACCTGTAGTGTATTCGAAAAACTAAAATGTTCCCTAATGTCAAGATTGAAAAAACCAAATTTTGTAAAGCAAAACCAAAAACTTTTATTAAAAGCACTTTTCTATTGCTTTGCATTAACGTCAAGCAAAAAGTGCTTGATGTTAATAAAAGCAGTTTATTTATTTATGCAACTTATCCCTGGTTTATTTAGAACAGACTCAAGGCAGTTTGAAAAGAATAATTAATCCAAATTAATGATTTGAGAAAAAAGGTTCTTCCTCCAATTTTGTTTCTAATGAATACCATTATTTAGCACTTTAACCTGGGAGTAAGAGCAACTGAATTCATAAATTAAGTGTCATTGTATTGGGCGCAAAACTATATGAAAAATGCCCTCCATATTGAACTACCCTTGGGATGATCCATAGCTTTTTCTAATATTTTCTTGTGATATCTGATACTGTCCATCTATCTTATCTGTCACCTTTTTTATTGCTTTCAACTTTACCAAGCATTATTTTCTCACAGGCCCCAAATATTGGCTAATTGTCACCTCATGGGAATAGTCAGTCTTTGTTACCTCTAAGGCTGATTGACTGTTTCTTGTTAAAGTCTATCATATTCTTAGTAATAATCTCAAAAGCTATACTTTAAGCTGTTTTCTTTCTCTCCTACTTTCTCAGTGTCCAGCTGTGAAACCATATATCCCTAGTCCTTAGGGCTGAGTTATTAATCTTGGAGTCTTTCCTTCTTTGCTATGGCACAAACCTGTCATGGCAACCTTTTTTTTCCCCTTGCCTTCAACAGTTCACTATCCAATACCTGAGGCAGCCTTAAATCACCTTTGCTATAAATTGTTGAGGTAGTGCTTTTCCTGATATCTGGGCACAGATTATGCCATGGATTCAATCTGACACATTTCACCAATCACTTTGTTGATTGTAGAGTCAGATGATTCCTAAGTGTTGACATGAATCCTGCACTGATTGGCTGCTTTAAGTTTGGGCAAGTATACCCCTCCCATCTGGTCCTGGGATTGTCTGCCAGAGCCATCACGTTTTGGACAGCAGGAGAGTCCAATTTTTTCAACCAGGATCGATTCCTGTACCCAACAGATCTCTGTGCCAATCCTCACAGCTAACTAGCAGAGGTAGCTAGCAGGATCTGCATGGTGAAGAGGAAGAGAGGAGAACTGTGTCTGATGCTACAGGACAAATCACTTTGTGCTTTTCATCTGTTGCTGCATTTGAACTTGGTTTTAGTATTATTCTGAAACAGAATAATGAAATGCAGGTTCACAAACAGCCCAACTATCCACTGATAGTTTGGATCTCTTTTAATGAATTGTATAAAACCAGAAAATATAGATATTGAAACTCATTTCTACTCTACCACCACCCATGCTAAAGGCAGTGATTGATAGATATTTTCTCACTAGCTGGTGATTTCCAGAAAAACAGCCAAGGGAATCTATTAATTGCTTGCATTGTGTCCTCACCAGGATAGGAATCAATGAAATCATCAAATATTATGTTTATGTAATGTTCTGGCAGTTGATGACTCATGGATAGTATTTAAGTAATCCACACAATAGGAAGGAAGGAAGGAAGGAAGGAAGGAAGGAAGGAAGGAAGGAAGGAAGGAAGGAAGGAAGGAAGGAAGGAAGGAAGGAAGGAAGGAAGGAAGGATCTTTTAGTATTTTCAATGAAAGATCTTTGAACAAAATGTATTTTAATAAAAAAAATTAGGAAAATCAAATTTCCTTCTAGTTTTGCTTCTATATCTGTAGATCCTAAAGCTGTGCAACACAAGCAAATCATTTTCCCTTGAAAATTGGAAACAGCCTCATCAGGTAGGAGACTTAATATAGCAGGACTTTTTCACTTTGCTTATGTGCATGTATGCATTTGGATGAGCATGCACAGCCAATTCTCTCTACTGACAGTCCCAACAAGTTCTGTAAACAAAGTACTTGGAGATGAAGATTTTATAACCTGGAGGTAAAATAATCTTAGAATACTAGTACCAAACACAACTTCCTTGACACTGCGTTCAAAATAAGATGCCAGTGAAGAGACCAACAAGCTGAACTAAAACTAAAATCTTATATATTTTTTGCTAGGGTGGTGCATTGGGTAGAATGCAGTATTGCAGGCTAACTCTGCCACAGCCAGGAAGTTCGATCCTGACTGGCTCAAGGCCCCATCCTTCTGAAGTCAATAAAATGAGGACCCAGATTGTTGGAGGCAATAAGCTGACATTGTAACCTACTCAGAGATTGCTATAAAGCACTATAAAGCCCAGGTTTAAGGCAAAATGACTTCTTATCAGGTCCAGAATGGGACGGGACCATGGCAAAGTGGCTACAGGATGTCCTTGCTTAACAACCATTTTAGTGACTGATTGAAATTATGACAGCACTGAAAACAAGTTAACAAATTATGACCATTGCAGCAGGTACATGATTGAGATTCAGGTGCGTCATCACCATCATGCATCATTTGTGACCTTCCAATCTGGCTTCTAACAAGCAAAGTCAATGGGGAAACTGGCAGAGGGGTTGTAACTCATGGTCATGTGATGTCTCAATGACCATGGGCAACTCACTTAATGATGCAACTGGGATTGCCAAAATGGCTATCGCTAAGCATCACATGTTTCACTTAATGACCACTTGCTTGGCTAGTCCCATTTAGGATTCTTAAGCAAGGACTACCTGTATGTGAATATGGTGATATCCATTCTACATTTGACATCAAATTATTTGGTATAGTATAGTTACTGTCTCTATTTTGATCCCTATCCTGTCTTCCTTGCCTCTTCATCCACTGACTGCCAATCATGTAACTTTCTTCCAAGATACCGTAATAGTTGAAAAAGACATTTTGTTGCATCTTGAGAGTGCAGTTGGATAGTTTCAGAATGAGGAAAATACTATTATCGTACTATCTCATTCCAAGGCTGCGGACAAGGTTACTGCCACATGGGGGAAGGCAGCAAAGAAAAGAGTGTTGCCAGGGAGCATTTATACCATATTTGGTTAGGTGCTGAGATGTTTGTTAAAAAGTTCAGGGTCAAAAGACAGCATAGAATACTTACAGCAGAAAGTAGTGTAGTCAAGGGCTTATGCAGAGTTCATATAAATAAGATCCAATGCAACTAGCAAAACACCGTTAGATATAGCCAGTCAGGTGTGGTTAATCAATTATATTATTAGGCAACAAATGTTACATTAATGTTGCCAGATCTTTGTTGCAAAAATCTCAGTTTCATTAAATGGTAGCAAAGAGATTAAAAAACCCTAAAATTTACCACTGTCTAGTGTCATCTAGATTTTTGCTCCCTATATACCTATACCAGGGATAGGAATTCTAGGAGTTGAAGTCCATGAGTCATAAAAGAGCCAAGGTTGCTTACCCCTGACCTATACTATATATTGAAAAAATAAGAAATAATGTAATTTCCCAGGGGCCTGCTTTTAAATACTTGCAGACATTTCAAACCAAGCAATTACATTAAAACCAGTGA